ACGGGTCTACATGAGCTATAGTCTAAACTCCTAGTATCCCCCTTAATAACCCCTATAGTAGTCCCCTATATAATCCCCTATATAACCCCCCTTTAAGGAGTTTAGACTACAGCTCACATGACTCACTTTGCCAAGATGCGATGGGACTGGGGTAGCCTTGGCAAGTCACAGGCTCCCACCATTTGGGAATTGCGCAAAATTAGGGGTACCTTTTTTTGGGGGGCCGTATAATAAGGACTATAATATTTGGGGGGTCTATATTGGGTCCCCTTATTTTGGGAAACTACCATTTTCACATCAGCAATGCGATCAGTAAACGCGCAACTTCTCATCATATCATCTTTGGCTCCCTGTGTCTTGACTAGGTTCCCCAGTAACCCCTTGATAATAAGGGTACACTTTTTCATACTATTCAGCTTCAATAAGGAGACCCACAGATAAAAAGGGCAAAAGAAATACTACTGGGGTACCTAGTTGAAGAACTTTTTCAAACAGAAGGGATCAGGCAGGCGGCTTGCGAGAGTGCGGCTCAGCTCAGACTCTTCAGTCGCAGGGCCTGGGTGGGTGAAATCAGCATGCCGGCATGCTGGGCTGCGCTCCAAGCCTCATAGCCTTACGCCCTACCACAAGCCAGGCTAATTTCGCACAGAAAGGCTGATAACAGCATCCCCATGCCACATCTGCATCTACCAGTGTAGCAGTTCGTTCCCCACATGAGCCATTGTCTAAACTCCTAGTATTCCCCTTAATAACCCCTATACTAGTTCCCTATATAATCCCCTATATAACCCCCTTTGAGGAGTTTACTTAGTTCCCCACATGTTCCACGGAGCAGAGCAAAAAGAACTCTGAAGCTCCTTTGCGGCCAAGTCACCCATCTTGTTGCCTGAGCGGCAGGTGGGGGTTTCCGAAAATTAGGGTACCCCAATATAAACCCCAATATACTATAATCCTTAATATGGGGACCCCCAATAAGGTACCCCTAATTTTGGGAAACTCCAGCAGGTCACTCCAACTAGCTCAGATGGGTCGTGGTGGGCCTCAGGAAGACCCCAACTAAACAAGCGACCCTCCTCCCCGCCTCCACACTGCTCCTATTCACAATGGTGATTGCACGTCAGCCCGTGGGAGTACTACAGTATGTACTCGGAACACTGATGGCCCCACACCTGAATCACCGCATGATGACACGTTGTCTTTTAAAATCCCTTATCCATGCACCACCCTCCTTGAAGGCCTATGAGTAGATAGGAAATGTGGATTTTTCTCAGATGGTGTGGCTACTATTGTTGCAATCCCAAGTTGGAATCTCCTTGCAGCTGCCTGTCTGATTGCCTAGTCAGCTTCTGGCACAGAAGCACCAAGCTTGAAGAAATGCCACCAGTTATCTGCTCCCCAATCCCGCTCAGGCGAGGTCGGCCAACTTTGGTGCCGGGATCTGCTACGCCAGCCCTGCAAAGCAAGCCATTTTAGAAGGGGCTTCATGTGGCAGATATGCTGATGACATGGGGAAAAGGGGGTTCGGAGATGAGCAGTCAGTGGCGTACAGAGGCCTTTGTGAAAGGACGGTGGTGTTTGAAGCGCCCCTCTTGGGGTTCCTGCTAGCGCAAGAGATGGTAAAGGTTTTGCCGTTGTTGTACCGAAAGTCTTGATACATTTTGACGTCTGACTACTCTGGTTTGCAGGAGCGGGAAAGGGGCGCAGTTGGCAAGTTGAGCAGCTTTATCATGTGTTTCATAGTCTAAACTCCTAGTTAGACCTCTAGTGCTCCCCCATAAAAACCACTGTAATAATACACCTATATAACCCTCTACATAACCCCATTAAGGAGTTTAGACTGCAGCTCATGTGAGGCAGCCGGGAATAAGGGACTACATTATACAGGAATTGCATGGGTCCCATATATTCCCTTTATAGGGAGTATATTCCCATGTTCCCTTGAAAAGGAATATATAGGGAGTATCTTGCCATCTTTCGTACTAAGAGCCAGTAAGGTTTGCGGCGTGGAGGCAACAAAAGCCAGCTTTGTCTGCTGCCCTTGGCAGGCCAGGAAGCCAAGACCCACAGACGAACTACAATAACTAAAGGACAACTAAGGTAACCATAGCAATAATAAACATAGTAATAATGGTAACACTACTAACGATAATAATTAGAGTAACATATAACCACTAGAAAGCAACTGTAAGATAGGGAACAGAAGTCAAACACCGTGAACAAAGATAATAAGAGGGGCAGCAACAATGCCAACCATTGCAATGATAACAATGACAAGAAAATATCTGAATGAGGGTACCCTTCTTCCAGTGTTCACCTTCAATAAGGAGACCCCCCCCCCCCCACCCACTCCCCAAAACAAAAAAGGAAGAAGGGTACTGCGGTGTACCTTGTCAAACAACAGATATGACTAAACCCTAAGCCCTAAACCCTAAGCCCTAAACCCTAAACCCTAAGCCCTAAACCCTAAACCCTAAACCCTAAGCCCTAAACCCTAAACCCTAAGCCCCCAGTGCCAGGCCTCCAAACTCGCTTTTGGACCAGAAGCCGCTCATTCCTGGGTTGCTGTTTTGAATTTTAATTCAAATTACCATCATGGGTATATAGGTTATATAATAGGGTATATAGGGTTTAAGTATATAATAGGGTATATAGGGTTTAAGTTAACATAATGGGTATATATGGTGATTAATAGGGTTTCCCCAATCTAGTGACTTAAATTAAGTTCCTTAACAGCAACCCAGGTTCTTCCTGAACATATGCTCAGCGTTCCAGTCGCCTTGCCAGGTATCAGGTACTTGCAGCACACATAAGCATTCACTGACCCACTTCCTCGGGCCCCCTCCAAGTCAGGTAATGCCCATACGCCCCTACCTAATCCCGATTCCCTTTTCATTTTCCACTCATTCTTGGGCCCCACATCCTTGTACAGCGCCTGGATAACATCCCTGAGCTTGTCTGACAGTCAGGGTTCCAGACCCTTTGCCGGTTTCAGCACTGCAAGGTAAGCATCCAAGCCAGACATGATTCATGCCTGGGAATATGAAACATTCTCCGACACAAGCACATGGCCCTAGGGGCAACAGGTATCATGCCAGCGTCGTGTCTAGTTACCAGTTATCCTCGACCTCGGCAGCGCTAATTCAGCCAAAGCGTTGCAGTCTGGACCATGCTGCGCCTTGTTGGTAGTCGTAGTCGCCGAACGTCTCGAAGTTTTTCTCGTCGCACTGCGTCTCCTCTCCCTGGCTTCCACTGTTCTGAGGCATGCCATCTGCAAAACGGCCCTGCTGCGCAAATTCGCTAGCTCAAGTACTCCACCTCACATGAGCGACTTGCTGTCAAAAACCCACCAAATCCAATGACCCGCATCGCTTTTGAAGGCTGCGGCCTCTCGCTGCTCCAACTGCATCAGCAAGAACCTGTTTCGTGTCAGTTGGAGGCTCCACAGTTCGGAAGTCCACTTCATTCCAGATTGGAAGGAGGCCTGCAAACAAAACGAAAGTCATCCAAAAACACGCATTACTGGCCAGGGTACTCATCTGTGCTGTACACCATTGGGCCATTCCCTGGCTCTCCAGGCAGCCTCAAGTAAGATTAACATGGGCAAGACACTTGGGAGCGGGTGATGTTTAGTCCCCCTTAAGTACATAAATTGTGGGGTATGTAGAGGTATTATTATGGTTCTGGGCAAAGCCTTATTGTATCTACTTAAGGGGGACTATATGCATTGCTTCGTGCATAGATCGGATACCAGACCTGCCCTCCCTAACGACTGACCAAAGAACTGAACATCCAAAGCAAGCGGCATGTCCTTTGCCATGCGGTATGCTTAGGAGATGAAAGCCACCCCTAATAACAAGACTAAGAATAAGAGTACTAATACTCATCTTAGGACTAGTAATAGTAAGCATAGCCTACAGGTAGACAGGTATGTGGCTTCTTTTCAGGGGGCCCCCTGCTTGCCAAGTGGCACTTGTGCCTGTGACCAGATATTGGGTGCCCAGTTGTCCGGGAAGTCCTCAGACCTTGGGTTGGGTAAGCAGGATACTGTACTTGGAGGGTGAGGGGGACTTAGCAAAGAGGTAATGGGGATAAGTAGGGTGCTTATATGGGTTGTACGGGATATTATACTTACTAAGTCCCCCTGACCCTCCAAGTAAGGGGGCGCCTAGGATATATAGGGTGTATACATAGGGGATCTATAGGGGACATATATAAGGGGGGGCCTAGGGCCTAGGATGTATTTGGGATGTATGAGGATTATATAGGGATGATGCAAAAGAAGATGGGAACTGCCATTTCGTGTTCACGGTCTTGGGTCCTCGCACCATGTTTACGGCATTTAAAGCGCCCCGCGGCCCCAGCCGTCCTGTAGACGCGAACTCGCAACTTACTGTAACTACGGGAAAATAGCCAGCTTCATCTGCGCAACACGACGACAATGTGTATGTTGAAAACTTCAGCAAGATCCAGCACTTGCAACACTCCTTCGTAAATTGAAGCCTTACCTCGACCTGCTGAACCAGGCATGCTCTACCCTAAACTTGGAAGCGATAAAGCCGGCAACCATCCACCTTAACACTGCACGGTGCCGTAGATGACTCTGTGCTTGACAAGAACGATTCGTTCAAAACACTGCCAGCTGAGAAGGTTTGAGACCTATGTCTGGGTAAGCCTGCAACATCCTACAGTCAGTCTAGGGTTTAGCTGTAGTCTCCTTAGACGTATTACAAAGATAATGTCTTTCCTGACTCCTTGGGTTATACTAGAATCAACACGCAAAAAATCCTAAGGAGACTACAGTCAGGGCTGATGGTTTAGGGTCTACAGTTCAATTGGGCCTTGGCGCGGAATGCCCCAAAGCCGGCTTTCAGACTTTTCAAGAAATAGCCCATCAATCACCCCGAACCCAAACCCGCCAAAAGGCCCCAATAGTCCCTAATAGGAGGTTTGGGTTTTGGGGACTCGTTAAAGGGCGATGCTAATGAACCCTATGTATATCCGACTATAAGTATATATATATATAGACATATTATACATATGCCCTGCTTCGGATTCTTTGGGTCCTGTTGCCGCATGAGCGGCTCGTGTGCGGCGCCCTTCCGGCGCTCTGCGCGACCCATGGTTTCCTCCTACAGGAGCATTGCCCAATAGCATCCAAATCCCCAGTGCGCAACAGTGGTTTCCATGTTCTCTTCCAGGCGAGACATATAGCTTCGGTTTTATGACTTAGGCCTTTGCGCGGACCTTCACTTGTGGCAAAAGCGTTCGACACCTTCTGGGGCACCGCGCTTTGATTATAGAAAAATTCTAATAAGAATGAATAAGAATGAAGTAATACTATAACCATGACAACAATAATAATAATGTGGTAATAGTATAGGTGCACATCTACACTTTCTGTCTGTACGGGAGTTTTTCAACTTTATTTAAAACTATGTATAAGCCCTTACTATGTATGTACCTACCCAAAATGAGAGGACCCTCATCAGAAGGACACTCCAGCAGGAGCGCCCCTAGATAAAAGAAAACACGCGTCACGGATCATCAAGGCCACGCTAATTCAGCCTCTACCCAGACCCTCCTATGTAGTTCCTTTTTGGGTAGTATATTGTAATCCCTTACCAGAAAACCATAACAGACCCAAAAAGGAACTACATAAGAGCCCTTGGGTAATATCTTTAACATAAACATAGGCGTCATCGTGATGTGGTAAGGCACCCAACCGGAAGGGCAGGGCAGCAGCCTCGAGATAGGCCCGAGGCTTCATGGAGCCAATATAAGCCCAATATATACCCTATTATAATATATAGTAGTTTCCATTTTCGTTTCCATTATCCCTATATTACTAGGTTCAAGCGTGTCAGTAGGTGTAGACGGGGTCAAGAGGTGGCCTTCTGCGCGGGCGCGTGGCTTTAGTATGCTCTAATATGCTGTGAGGACTAGCGGTCTAGCCGTGTGACTGCAAGGCCTACGTAGGAGGCTCGATGGAGTAAGAAACGGTAGTTCTTTGAATCGCCCGGCAAATGAGTACTGTGACGTACTTCCAGCACTCAACCATGCAGCAGCATGTGTAACATGCCTTTCGCTTCTTTTGTGTGGGCATCTCTCTTTCTCAGAGGCAGCCGCCGTCTTTGTTGCTGGGGGCTTGGGGCTCTACGAAACATCCCAAACATCTGTTGCAAGCTGTCCTGCGCTTTTTTCGTCTCAGCACGGCTCCGATCGGCCAATGCCGCCTGGGGGGGGCAGAAGCACAGACAAGGACTGCTAACAGCCCTGACGGAGTGTTCCCTCATACCTCTGCTGAGAAGCAATCCAAGATGAATCGAACGGAGCTGCCTCAATTATTTCTGCCAAGCACGGTGGCAAGTCCCCAAAGAATAAGAAAGCCTGGATGATCACATACTGCAGGTACCCACCTGGACACCACCCCTACAGCCTGCCAGCTCAATGGCCTGAAAAATTGTCAAAACCAGAATTCCGCTTCACATCCCTCAAAACCACACTTCTGGGGAGAAAAGGGCCCAGAGGGCCTCGCGCCGCGTGCGCGGGGCAGGGCCCTCGCTTCGGCTGCGCTTGGCTGAGCCCTGTGGCCTGGAAGCCTCGATTGGTTATATGAGGGTTATATTGGGGTAACATTAGGGTCATATTAGGGTTATATTCGGGTGGTCCCTATAGAGGGGTTATGGGAGTTGGACGAGGGTTCTACAGGAGTTCTACGGGGTTGCAAAGGGATATGTATTGGCAGGTCTGAAAACGCATGTGACATGGCTCACAAGTTCGTATCCTCAATGCCCATGGCCCCTGGGCCATCTACTGGTAGATTGAGTTCATCACATTCCAGGACGCAACAAGCTGACACCTGTGGCCAAACAGAACATGCCAGATGTCAGCTGGGTCACCATCTTGGCCTCAATCTTTGCCTTCGCCGCGGTAATGTGTTGTTGGTCAATAGCTTTCTCAACCATTGCACGTGCCCACCGACTCGTGCGTTCGTCCCGCTTTGCACGTGCCGTCATCCGCTTCATGCGAGCTTGTTCTTCAAGCTCCTCCGCGGGTACTGGCACCACGTGGCGGCTTCCAGAGGTCTTGCCAATTTCAGCTAGTCCTTCGAAAGTCCGATTCGCCCAACGTTGGCGCTGACGTGGTGCACCATCTGTCTGCTCCTCTACCAGGGCCGCCACTGCGGCGGCTGCAGGACTGACGCCTGCATCACTGCAGAAGGCATCCGAGGACTCTCCGGTGCTTTGTCGCAGCCAGCGGCTTCGCTTGACCGCGTGGTTTGGGTCCTCGATTGGCGGCTGAGTTGGTGCTTGCTCTGGGCTCTGGGACTCCTCCTCTGCAGCACCCAAGCTGACAACGGCCTTGTGGCATGAGAGTCCAACAATCCCCCACTCTGCTTGGAAATCCAAATGCTGTACTTCCAGGCCCTCCACGTGCGTGCCAATACGTAGACTGTCCAGCAAGCCTGCACGGCGTGCGTGGTTGGCATCTAGAAAAGCCCTGCAGGATCGGCCGATGTCCATAAAAACTGTGCGGTGTGTAATGCGCTGAACTACGCCGCTGACTTGCATGCCCACTCCCAGCCCCAGCGTTGCTACCAGGACGTCGCGCTCCCATCTCGCACTTCTTCCGGGCTGTGAGTCCGTACGACCTAGCAGCTCCACCATGAAGGCTGCGTCAGCCTTCGCATGATCTGGCACATCAGCTTGTGCGAAAACTATGAAGGAATCAGTTGGGGCACCTGGGCCTTGTACCATGGGCAATATGGTGTCTCGGATCATGTCCTCACCATAGCGGCCGATGGCCTTCTGCTTGGTGCCAAACAGCCTGAGATATGCCGAGTTGCAGGTTCGGGCCAGACTCGGCCAGCCATCTTCAAGGTCGCCGCACCAGCCATCTGAATTGCGGATATTGATCCAGGCCAGGCACAAGCCCCACCTGCGCATCAGATTGATTACGTCGTCCCGATGGGCTCCGTACCAGGAGCTATGCCGGAACTCGAAGATGTGTAGCACCTAGGACTCTGTACCGTGCAATGCTTCCGAGCTCCCGCTAGATTTCAACTGGCAATACCCATTATGCCCCTCGTCTCAGCTGAGCCCTAGCTAGCACATCATGCGTTGCAGAATGACCTGCCATCTCTGGGCCACTGGCGTTTCTAGGCAGGCGTTTTGCCAGCCTCACCGCATGAATGTGCATATGAACTCATGTAGACTGCTTAGTTCAGTTTCTCCTGAAACCTAAACTGCTGCTCAGTTCCCAGCTCTTCAAGCTCGTAAAGGCTTTGCCGCGAACAGCCTTGGATATCTTGGGTAGTCTGCTTCCCCTCTGATCCAAACAGCAAACGTCCGCACCACATGTGTTTGTATGGCACCTGCCTTTGACTTTGGGGTTTTTCACACAGATCCCACAATTACCTGAAGCGCACTTAGCACCCACCAGACAAGAAAGCTCAGAAGAACCTATACAGGGAACCTCCAGAAGCATAGAAACTTGAGGGTTAGAGGATCCAGCTCAGTTCAGGTCAGGAAACGGCTCGTCTTCATCATCAGCACTTCAAACGCTATTTTGTCAGGAAACTCCGGTTACTAGCGAATGAGATAATGGCGCGCAAATTCTCGATAATCCCTATAGAAAATCTTCCCTACTTTAACCCCAACATAGTTCGATCATATATAGCCTCTCATAGTCTAGTACCTTCCATGCTCTCTTCCATTATACTTACATAAATATTTCCTTATCCCGTATGAACCCTAAACCCCAAACTAATATCTTCCCTCATTCCCCTACTGACCACAAAGGCAAAGGGTCGGTGGGAAGGCGCAAGCTGCCACAGGAGGCCGCCCAAAACTTCGGCCTGGAGCTAGCAACAGGCACCAATGGTAATAATACTGATGGCAGTAGTAGTACGCCTAATAGAAAATAGTAGTAGTAGTAATAATAATAAGTAGTAATAATATCAATAACAGTACTAATGATTTCAAGTAATAGTAGTAGTAATAGTAATGGTAGAAATAACAGCAGTAATAGTAACAATGTTACTCTTGGGATTTAGGCTTAGTAAGCTTACTCGAAAACATATCTATAAGAAAGTCCAGGTACCCGTTTTTTGCAAAGACCAACTTCAGCTATACCACAAGAGAGTAGCCGCCGGCTTACGATTTATCGACTTTTGGCCAGGAGTAGTGACAAAACCACGCTAAACCCTAAACCGTTGTGTTACGGTAGGAAGTAAGATGGCCAAGATCATAGACATGACCGCACACATCACAGAACAAAAAGGACCGGCAACTCGCGGGCGACGTAAGAAAGACTAACACTACTTGGAGAACCCCTCATAGAAAACCAGCTTCCATTTCATTTTCCATGGTCTTTTCCATTTGAGCTTCTCTCATTGGGGCAGTATCCCCATTACATCTCCTGTAATATCCCCATGTAAACCCAACGCGCTTTAGTTGCTTCCATTTTCTTTTGCATTATTCCGCACATGACCCTTCAAGTAACCAGGTTGCCAAGTCTTTTCTTTCCGGTTGGAAATTCTATGAAATCCCTATACAAACCTATGGAACCCCTATAAAGCCCTATAAAGGCATCTCTAATTTTGGGACCCCCCCCCACCCCCCCCGCCCCCATATTCCCTGCAATTTGAAGCTCGCCTTCTGGAGCTCACCGTACTTCGACCACAGCTGCGGCCACCACTGGTCTGGACCTAAGAAACACGCCGCAAGCCCCTACACTGGTTTGCTGTTAAGGAACTGTAATTAGTAACCTACCACAATATGGGTATAGAGAAAATACTAAGGTTTCGTGATAATACTAACTCAGCTTAAGTTCCGAAATAACAACCCAGTACACAACCCAATACTTTGGGAAGGAATTCTGCCCAGACTGGGGTAAACAGCGAAGCAACCAGCTATGGCGCAAGGCTCAGTGTGCTAGAAGGATGCTCACCTCCAGTAGCTCCAAGAAAGAAGGCTTGGCGGTCTTGCTGTTGTATGGCTTTCTGGGATAGCCGCTTCATTAGAGAATCCAAGTGTCTGAGGTATGCCTCCTGCTAGCTGCAGAGGTATGTCTGGACTCCCTGCTGCATTCTCTTTTCATTCTTCAGGACGGTGAGCTG